CAACATGTTCCTGAGATGGACACCCTACCTTTAATCTCACATTCATTTAAAAAATAACTTCCTCATGATCACAAGTTCCAAAATAAAAAGTTAATGTACCCCTGGGGGACATCACCCCATTTGAAAGATCTCTTAGATGCGTTCCTCAAATGGCTGTAAGTTTCCTTCCATCTGAAATTTCCAAGTGCTAGAGAAGCCGTCCATGTAAATCGACACAATAGCTAAGAAATAATTCCTTGGAATAATAAGGATTTAGCCAAATATGTTAGGCTTTTAAAGTGATATCTTTTTACAAATTCTCCATGTTTTATTTGCTGGGTTAGCAAAAAGCTCATCTGATTTAAAAAATAAGAATATACTGCTGTGTACATATTTTATTGGAAGTATATAAACTGTTTCATGTGAAGAAAATATAGGCCTCTATTCAATAAAAAGAAAAATGAGAGAAAGAAGCAGAGATCATTAGATGTTTTTAAAAGTGTAAGTTCTGGGTCACGCTAATTCCTCTTGGTCTAATGCTTTTTATAATTTAGACAACATTTGTGTTGAAAACTTCAAAATCAGACTGAAAACAGAAAAGAATACATCTTTACATTTTTTAACACTGAACCATTTGGGCACACAGAGGTATTATAATTTTGTAATTAAATGATTGAGAACGATTCTTTGTTTTAGCCTCAATAAAGATGCAATTTTCTAGTGGGTCAGGAGGCTGAGGCAGGAAGATCATGAGTTTAAAGCCAGCCTCAGCAACTTAGTGAGGTACTAAGCAACTCAGTGAGACTTGTCTCTAAGTAAAAAATATTTAAAAAGCTAGAGATGCGGCTCACTGGTTAAGCGCCCCTGGGTTCATTCCCCAGTACTGCCCCTCCAAAGAAATGTAATTTTATTTTCTGGTTTTAAAGAGATGAAAAACAAAGGTTTGCTTAAAAATTTTTATTTGCACCTATTTATGTGGAAGCACGTGCACCTAATGGGAACAAGCTCTTCTAGGGATGCAAGGGGCTGGGGTCTGGGCTGGCTGATGCCTGTTCCTAGTATGAGCCCTGGGCTAGTTGCTTAGCCAGGGCCTCTGCTCCATGGTCTTCCCATTGAGATGCCTTCACAGGGAGGCTGTGAAGAGTGAATGGAATGAGGCAGTCAGCAGTGTTACCAGCACCATGCCAACTGCGATGGACCATACACGGGGCACTCCAGCTCATATCTTCCCGAAGAGGGCTTGCATCCTTCCTGATGTATAGACCAGGCACATAACACTCAAATGGGTAAGTACATAACCCGAGGTCACAGAGCCAGCAAGTGAAAGGAGTAAGATTTAAATCCTGATTCCAGTGCCTCGAGCTTTTCCTCTCTCTACATGACCACTTGGGGACACAGGGTACTGCTAGTCACAGACATTTTGCCATGTGTTATTTAATACACTTTGTGTAACTTTTCAGGGCCAATGAATGAAATACTTTCTATAGAAAGTATCTCTCTGAAAGATGAAACATGCCATAAACAAACTAGGAAATCTACACTTGAATGAATCAAAAATGTATTTTTTCTTGAATACCAGAAATAACCTAAGTCTTAATTTGGCCAAGGGCTGCTTTATTAAACTCTCTTTAAAATACATGCTGATTTCCTTCTGGTTTTATAAACATTTGCTGAAGTATCATCTTGACATATGGATAATAATTTCTCCCCCCAAAACTAATTAGCAATAATAGTTTTGAATAATCTGTCAAAGATTTTAGAAAGTGCTGTGCCTTCCAAAAAACATGCTAATGGCAAATGGTGTGTCTTCAGTAAGCATGTCAGCAATATTATTTTCAAAGCATGGAAAATGCTGAAATAGCAAATTTATAAGATAACTAAGCCTGGTACATCTATACTTTAGGACTCAGTCACTCAGGAATCTAAGTGAGTTAAAAGGAAAAAAATAAATAAATAAAGCTTGAGTAGGCTGACAATGAAAGTCCAGGAAACTAGAACATTTCTGGTCAATAGATGCATTAGCAACGGGAGCCTTGTTTTTGGACTGTTCTTAGACCCAGAGAAACAATGGAGCTTGCTTCCTCCTCCTCCTCCTCTTCCCTGTGCTATTTTTTCTTGTTAACTTGTTTCAAATCAAGATTACAGAACAAGTTAGCCACTCTGTGGGAGTTCATGCTTAATTTAAATTATGGGCCTCTTCAGGGCTCTCCTCTCCCCCAACGTGTGGAGGGCCCCAGCCCAGGACTCCGCAGAACCACAGCCACAATGAAGAATGGGGAAGAATGGGGGGGGGGGGGACAGGAAACAGAAGGCAGAGCCTCTTCTCCATCATGTGGAAAGAAGGACAAATTAAAAGCAAAGGTGCGGAAGAGAGAGAATTACGCTGTCATAGATCATGTTATGTTGCCCAAACATGTTAATATAGTTCAGTGGCTTATCCCTAGAAAATACGACTTTTAGACATTTGTTACTACACACTATTGGGTTTCGCTGAGATGTATCACATGTTGAACCCAGGAAAATACCCCAAGTATATATTATATTTTGCTTTTGATGCGTACAAAAACAAAATAATAATATACATGTTTTTTCTAAGTGGCAGATGACGAACCATACAGTCTTAAATATACTTCCTGTTTCTTCATCTAGAGCCCTTAGAAATGACACAGCTCTCCAAATGCTAGCTGCTGTGCCAGTTCTAAGGCCACCGTTGGGTACCGTCATGACACACGCAGGCATGCTGGAGGGTCAGAAGCTTGGTGGCTGCTCTAACTCTTGGAGATGTAGCTTATTAGCCTTGCCGGGGTGCTAATAAATCTCCACTACGCAGCACAGGTGGCCCTGCAGAGGCCTGCCTCCTTACCTTTGACATGGGGAAGGAAGTGGTGTCGGAAGGGGGGGTTGGGGCGGGAGTCGCTGTGGGTGGAGCTGAAACTGCTGGTGCGCGGGTGGGACACCCTCTGCACACCAGGAGACAAAAGCTCTGTGCGGCAGGGAATCGGACAGGGCCGAGGAAACAGAAAAGAAGAACAGAAATTAACACAGGAGCAGGGAAAGTGGCACTGTTCCAACGGGGGACAAGAGTGTTAACCAGGAGTCTGAAAAGGAGGAAGGAAGACGAGTTACGAATGCACCTGCAGAGGGTTAGGCGAGGGTGGACAGAGTCACTCTCAGAATAAATGGCTTTGGTGAGGAGGAATGGTCCCAGGACATGCTCTGGCAGTTTGACGCCAGCTACTGTGGAGCGAGGACTGGGCACAGCATGTGGACTCAGTGACACCGGTTGATAAAAAGCACCTGACAAAATGGAACCCTCAGAAATGCACGTGAAAAATGATAGTCATTTCAAAAAACGTGAAAAGAAGTGCTTGTGTGTAGGGGTTGTATTATTTTTTCAAGCTGCAAACTCATCCCACTTTGTAGTTTTACATTTTATTTCACCTACACAGAAGGAAAGTCCGTTTGTGTTCCCCAGGGGGCAGAGTGGGGTTGGCTCTTGAGAACTGGCATCAGAGTTGGGACGGGAAGCAGCATCTCAGAGAAAGAATGGACCACTGCAACTAGACCTGGACCTGGGGGATTTAAGACATCATCCAGCACCCAGAATTTGTAGGGTGGATACACTGGGGTATTGTACTCAGATCACAAATACCCTATGAGTTTCATTTTAAATGGTTAGGACTCCAAAAATACCAGCTTAACACTTGGAATTTGCATATTTGTAGCATATTGTGAAAGGAGGGAAGAAGAACATTCCAAAGGGTCCTGGCATCAGAACCATGATTGGAAGAGATGGAAGACTTTCCAGTGCTCAGTCAGGACGGGAGTTGCAGTGAGGGGGGCGTGGGGCAAGTGTTGCTGACTGACCACTCCCTCGCTGCTCAGGGGTGTGTGGAAGATTACCCTGCAGCCCCCACACCATTCCAAAAGTGCCACAGCTGGGCTGTCAAGGGTTTTGGTATATGTACATCTGCAGGTTACAGCAAGAAGGATTTCACACTGCCCAGAGAGCAAAGACTTAAATGGAGACCCTTGTCCAAGACATGAATAAAATGAATGTAGTTACACATTAAAAGAGAAGACATTTCCTGAAAACTTTCATTTAACTTAATTCATTTAACATAATTCATTAAGTAAATACAGATAAACCTAAAGAAATGGATATATTACTGAAATATCCAGTAGTTTCAATCTTATTACATTCTGCAAATCTCCTTTGGTTTTATTCCTTGTGTTATTTAAAAAGTTAGCATTTGAATGGGTTTGTGAAGTCTTCATAAATGTACAACATCACCCCCAGGTTTGTTTGGAAGCCAACATCTTCCCTGTGACTTGCTTTCTCGGGGCTTCCTGGATCTCTCCTGGGATCGCCATTCTGCTACACACATCAGACCTCACTAAGAGCTATAGGAACTAAATTCTCTGCAGAAAAAGGGCAACCTAAAGTCTGCTACTATGTGACATTTTCTACTGTGGTATATCCCTGAGATTTCTGTATATTCCAAGTTTGATTCAAAATCTTAGGGTTGGGAGGCATCTCAGAAGTTACTAGGACAAGCCTGAGTCCTCTTTCTAGAAGGTACATAGCCACACATGCTTAGAAATGCTAGGTGCCTAGATGAGGGTATTCTAAACCCTTGTCAATAGATGGCTAGTACTGGATTTTCGATGATGTTGATATGTCTAAAAAGCATATCAAAGTACTTCCTGGTGGAGATCTTCATTATAAGTCTCAAAGTGACAAAAATCTTATCACACCTGAAAAAAAAATCTCCTTTGCTGCCAATATTTCACTGTCAAAATATAATTTAATAAATTACAGTGAATATAGCCATAAAATGATTGAAGTTCCAAGAAAAGATATAACACAAAATATAGTTGGGTATCAGTTTTCATTTTGTTATGGGAGAGGATCAAAAATACTTAGCAATCAGATTTTTCAATATGCTATGCATGGCAGGGATTTCACACAGAGATAACAGCTTATCATGTAGGTGGATACTGGGAACTGTGGCCCTTACCAGGTCTGTGGAAATGCTGGGGAGAGCGCGAAGTGGTTGGAGTGTAACTGTGGCGGCTGTATACAGGGGAGTTGATGGAGCCCTGGCTGGTGGATCGATGGATCACCCGATCCCGAATGTCCTGGTAGCCCTAGAAACAAAGCATGGGAAAGAATGAGGACAAAATACTTTGATGCTACTTATGCACATTTCCAACAAAACCTGGTCCGTAGCCAACATCGCTAGGGAGTTATCTTGGCTACCTGTTGGTGTTTACTTCTTAGGGTCACGTTCCATAAATATGCAAGCACCTGAGCATTTTGTGTCTAATGCATTTTGTTCAAACCTGCAGTTCTTGTAATTATTAAAAATTAAGATGTAAAATCATAAATTCTATGACCATGTTTATATTGTGCTTTTCAGTTTTACAAAGCGTGTCCACCTATGTCAGATCTTCCTAATGGTAAGGAAGGGCATGGCATTGCCTTCCTTCCCCACTAATGTAAAAACAAGATTCCAAGCAGTCAGACACACAAGTGCATAGCTAGCACAGGTAGGGGTTCCCATCCAATGGGCATCCATATGCAACTTTGTCCTGTGTTCTGACCACTGACCCATGCTGTAACACTATATCTGGTGACATTTTAAGTTGACACACCCGGAGAACAGGTTGGTGATTGCCTTAAGGCCAGTAATTCTACTCCTCACCTTGGGAAGTATATTCCAGGGAAAGAATTTAAAATGATCTTTAAAAGTAATAATTCAAAGATTTTTATACCACCATCCATAAAGGCAAAGATCGGTATTATATACTCAAAAATTGGAGAATAATTCAGAAACAATCACTTTGATAGAATATAATGTCACCCATGTCGAAACCCAGAAAAGGACATATTGGGTGATAGGAACAATAAATTAGACATGTACAAATGCAATATAAAACTTTCCAAAAAAAGTTGGAAGAATGCAAAAAGTATTTTATGTTTCAGGGGTTTGTTGTCCTGTGAAGCTTCTACTAGCACATTCTTTAAAAAAAAAAAAAAAAAACCTTAAAAGAACACATGAAAGACTGAATTAAAATCTCAGTGTGGTAGCTTTGTGAAATTGGAGAGCAAATGTCAAGGAAACTTTGGTTTGATTTACTTGGCCATATAAAATATACTATATATATATATATAAAATAACACAATGACAACACAAAAAGCCCCCAAAAGATGTGCTTCAGTCTTACAACTAGTCCATAATTGAAGCTGGTTCTTCATAAATTCAGTTATAATTGTTAGATCAGTACTAGAAATCAGTTGCTCACAGTATTTACCCACAAACCATGGAAATATTATGGACTTTTCACGATCTTGAATTGTAGAGATTTTCTATGATGGATTTTAGAAAGAGTATCCAGAAAGCTGCTTGATGCTAAGACCAGAACACTGAGTTTACACCAGAAGAAGTGACTTCCCGGGAAGAAGTGGTTCTGCTTATGGATGACACTATGACCACTGTTGGCCTCATCAGGTGACCCAGTGCATTAGGGTTCAGATAACTTAAGTGTAGATGACACAGAGAGCCCCACCCTGTATGGTGGCCTCCATCCCCCCAGACATTCGCTTAGCAGTTGGAGGTACAAATTCAGATTAACACGAGGCCCCTTTTACTCCACAGATTACATTTAGAAAGAAATGTATTGCCCTTTTAAGATCCTACCTTACAGGTAGGTAATCCCTATGCCACTATAATCTCGGTTTTTGTTTCTTTATGTGTTGTGTCCTTTTTCAAAAAATTCCAGTCTAGGCAAGATCCAAACCACTTGCAAATTTCACTCATTAAAATGGTCAAAATGGTACTTACTTCTGCTGATGGAGTAGGAGACAAAGTCCTTGGAGACTAGGACAATAAAAGAGAAGTCAAAGTCACAATGTTGTAAATTTTTTTTTTTACCAGTTTTAATTAGATTTGCTTATCAGATTAGTTGGGAACATTATTCCAAATTCATGTGCCAATATCTGTTACCCATTCCTGTCTTCAGATTTAATATTTACTGGGGCCCATGGTAAACTCTGACAAAGTTCTTGGGAGAGATTCTGGTGCACATTTTTTTTGCCCAAGAATCATGGTTTTAACAAATATATTGTTAATAGTATTGTTAACTTAATAAACATATTGATGTCTTAAGTGATCAAACTAGACAAAATGGAATTATTTCCCCCTATATATTCACACTACGCCCAGATTTCCACTGTACTGAGTTATAACATCTACAAAAACATGGGATTTTGTAAACATGTTTTTAACTAAATTATAACTTTGGCAATCACTGAAAAATAGTTTGGTAGGAGTGTGATGACCAGGCATGTGGATCCTGTCCGAGCTGCCTGGCCAATTTCACCACCACGCAGCTTCTGGCTTCCAATCGTCCAGGTACACAGGCTTCCTTAGGGCCACCAACAGGCCAAGTCCTGTCTCACCTCAGGGCCTTTGGACTTGCTCTTTCCTCCACTACCAGGGCTTTTCATGTAGACACCTGCAGAGCTCACCCCCATTTTCTATTCTATGAAGTCTCAGTTCAAAGTCACCTTCACACAGCACCTGCTGTGACCCTCCTATGTAAAACAGCAACTTCTCCCCCAGCATTCTTTCTTGTTACTTTCCTTCATTTTTCTTCATGATACTACCTCCCTGTAGAATTCTCCTGTGTATCTGTTTACTTCCTGTCTCCCAAGCTCAATGAGGGCAAGGACTGTTTATAACAATCTATTCCCAGTGATGAAAGTAGCTCTTGCCACATATTTGGTGCTCAGTGAATATTTCCTGAATAAATAAAATGTTTGTAATTAAAATGTAAAAAGTTTTCAACTAGAAATGAAATGCAAAATAAGCATTCTAAAGAACAACATCAGGGGTGGATTTCTTAGTTTTAGAATTGGATCTTTTCCCCACATTAACAATGACATGGCAGACTCTCTTGCACTGCAAGCTTCCTCAGGCCCCATGGTAATGTCTGCAGCTATGGCCTGTCTCTAGGGCATCTTTGCTGGCCAAGGATGGCCCCCTGTGGAGAAGCTAGCTCTCCTCCTGCTCTGATGATGCATTCTGGATCCACTCCCCAGGTGGAGGGCTACGCAGAACTCAAAGTTACTCCTGTGTTTCTAAAATGTCTATATATGGATTCTACAAAGGAAGTGCTAATAATGAATGGAATAAATAATAGAATAACTTGTAAAGTTTACTCCCTGCAAGATCCATGTGTTGGGGAGAGTTTGACATACCTGATATCTATTCCAGGAGACATCCTCTATCCATAGAGAAACCCTTAGGTCACCATTCCAGGTTATGATGGTAATGGCATTGAATCTGAGAGCAGCTAGAATTTCTGTTGAGCATTTATGTATAAATTACTGTTCTAATCTAACTACCTTACCTAATCCTTATATAAAGACTTTAGAGGTAGGTAGCAATTATTGTTTTCTACCTTGAGTTTACAGGGAAGGAGACTGAAGTATGAAATTTTCTCAGTCATATGGTTCATAAATACAGGGTTAGTAAATACCAGAGTCAGTGTTTTTATTTGTTTGTTTGTTTTTGTGGGCACTGGGGATTAAATCTTAAATACAGGGGTACTCTACCACTGAGCTACACACCTCTCAGACTTTTTTTTGAGACAAGATTTTGCCAAGTTGCTCAGGCTGGCTCAAACTTGCAATCCTCCTGCCTCAGCCTCCTGAATAGCTGGGATTATAGATGTGCATCACCATGTCCAGCCAGAGTCTGATTTTAAATATTGAAAATTTCACTTCAAAGCCTTAATCCTTAAGAGCCTGATGTTTTACTGCCCCAAATAGATTCACTTGGAAACACAGACCACCATAAAAAAACTCAGCTCCTCCTTGGTTGTATAACTTGAACATTAATAAATTCTCATCCACTTGCTCTAAGACCAGCCCCTATGTAATTTGTTCGGGAGCCTCTCCTTGCCCTTGATCACCTAGGTCACTTTGCAACACTCTTTGTTGCCCAATGGCAACTCAACAGCCCAGGCCAATCAAACTGCATTTGAGAGCTGCCAAAGATGCAATGCAGCAAAGCAACCACTAGGTGGCACTACATGAAAATGGATGTCACCTCTGGTTTAATGGACCATGGCAATGAAGAGTTATGATCTGGAATAAAACCCTAATTAGAAAATAAACAAATAGGAGGAATGTTATATAAATATAAATCAATGTAAATATAATTATAAAACAATAAATATTATCTGTGTATAACTGACGACAAATTAAACAGATTCACTATACTAATATGCTTTTCCTTTATCTCAGTTAAGCCTGAAAACACTGCGTGACTGTCCACTCTCATTCAACTTTGGCTGAATGGCTGATTTGAGGCAACTACTTGGATAACATCTCCCTCAATGGACTCAAATAGTCTACAGATGATTCCAATTTAAAAACTAAAGTGGGAAGGCGTGCTGGGGCAGTAGCTCTGAGGTACAGCATGTGTTTAGCATGCTCAAGGCCCTGGGGTTAGTCCCCAGCACCAATAAATACATAAATAAATAGAGAAAAACAGAATGAGTTGAAGAGGCCAGGAAAAAAAGACCAGAGGGAGGAGCCCAAGCCATGTGAAGCTGTGGTCCGGCAGTGGGGTGTGTCTGTTGGCCAAGCACCACTAAGCCCCAGGAGGACAGGTAATAATGGTAGCAGCTGCCATTTGCTGAACATTAACACGTTTGTCCCTCTGTTAACTGCTCTACATCGATTAGTTTTTGTACTCCTTTCTAGCCCCCTGTGAGGTAGCCTATTTTCCAGATGAGGGAAGTAGAATTGGAATGGTTGTCACATGGCAATGTCAGACCACCAGTGTGTGGTGATCCCTGGGTAGAGCCCAGGTAATTTGATTCCAGATCTCACCTCATCCCGGTGTACTTTGCTGTTACCACAATCTCTACTTTTTTTCTTTTCTTGTACATTCTGATTATGTGAAGATGCTGAAAACTGTAGCTACCAAAATTTCGGTAGCTACAGAAATGCTCTCTCTCATCACAATTCCCATGAATATACTTCAGGCTCATTTGAAGTTCAAGACTCCCAGAAGACTCTCCCTCCCCTAGTCTTCCCTGACAACTCTACAGCTTCTATCCCAGCCTGACTCTGCTGTTTTATGTGCAGTTCACTGGTTCTTCCACCTCTGTAACCTCCCTTGGGACACAGATCACGTGACAGGTTTTGAATACCTTAAAGCACCTGGTGCGGAAACCCACAAACAAAATACAGTCGAAAAGACTGATTTATTTTAACTCCAAACATCAGTTGTTGCACGTGTGACTACAAAGAAAGTGAACTGCGGTACATCCTGCAACCACCAGGAATTTATTACCTCTCCAAGGCTCTGTCTCTCCTGCTTGTCATCATAGCCCGAGGTGTAGAAAGGCTCATAGGTAATGAGATCAGGACGTTCAATGTCATAAATTGCCTTGACCTTGGGGATGGCGGCTAAATCCTTGTAATCCAGGATTTCGTTGTCTACTTTTGCCTAGTAAAGTTAAATGGAGAGAATTGTTACTCTGCAGTCTCATTTCTTGAGAAACTATTGCCAGTAAATTTTATGTCTTGTTTGAAATGTGAAGACCTTAAAACAAACCAAAACCCCTTGCTTAGCGCAGCCATGCTTTCCAGTGAATTACCAATTTATACCATCAGTTAATCAGGTTTTTTCCCCCTTAAATCATCTAAAGCTTAAGAAAAATTATGTGCAGAATTTGTTAAATATAAAAATGTGTAAACCTGAAGAATAATTTTCTAATTTACTACAGGAAAGGAAAGAAATCTCAAACAGATGGTCAAGAAATTGGTTCCCAGATGGCTAAAACCAAGAACTGCCTATTTAATAAACTAAATATTTAAATATCTTTGATGTCAGAATTTAAGAATATTCAGCAACAGTGTTATAAAAATATATAATTAATCCCTATATATCTGTATGTAAGTTAGGTGTGACAATTTTAGAAGTCCAGGACTGGAGGAGACGCTCATTATAATTTGCAAGATCCGGGGTTTGATCCTCAGCACTGAAAAAATTTTTTTAAGTCTTGCATTTTGCAATCATCTTTTGATCTGATGACCACATACAAATTGAATCACCTGAAGGAAAATATGACCTGGAGGGCTGATGTACCAAGATGAACACTGGATCTCTAACAGAGATGAATCATTTTGCATTAGCTTCTGTTTTGGATTGTCCATTCTGCTATTTCAATCCCCAAACTTAGCTGCCCCACAAATGTCCCTTCTGGAAGCAGATACTTACATAGATAGTGTGACCTGGTGAGCCAGGGATGCTGGATCCTGGTCTGGAATAAATACTTTCTGAAGAGGTCCTGGTCGGCTGTAAAATAAATGGTGACTTGTGAGATTTCGGGCCATGGCGTCAGAATCAAGAAGGCCTGGGTCCCTAAGCTGTACTAAAACTAGTTAAAGGAGGAGAGATGTCGTATCTTTTCTTTGCAGATAATGGAAAATACAACCTTGAAGGAAAAGGACATGTAGACTAGTTTTGAGACCTGGCACCGAAAGTGCATTGGGGGTCTTTCTCTGTGTCTTCCTCTTCTTGCTCCCCACAAAAACCTCTGGCTTTCTCATGCAGCACACTGCTCCCCCTCTGCATGTCCACAATCCCAGCCCTGTCACCACCTTGGCTCCTCTGGACTATTGCAATGCTCCCCACTGTGGGCTTCCAGCTCTTGCCCTTGACTTCTTCAAATGCACTTGGCACCCAGTGGATCTTTCAAAAGAGATTTATTTTATTTCTTTTAAAGAACATAATTTGAACTTCCAATATCCTGCTTTTGGCTTCAGCATCAACTCAGAATAAAACCACAACTCCCAGGGCCTCGCGATCACTCCGCTGCCTTCTCCTACCTTGTCACTCATCACCTGTCATCATTCACAGAAGCAGGAGCACCTCCCTGCCTAGGGGTTCTTATCCCCGATGCTCCCTAAGCCTGCAATGCTCTTACCCACAATCTGACTGGGTTGACTCTTTTTCCTCCTTCAAGCCTAAAGTCTTAAACATCACCTGCTCAGGGAGGCCCTCCCTGTTTTCCAGGCCAGAGTTCTCACAGTGCCATTCTTACTTTTTCCTTTGTGAATAAAAATTCCAATTGATACATTTATTGGTTTTGCTACATCAGGTCTACCTCCCCCTTGACTTTGGTCATGCTCTCCACCCTCACACAGTTGTCACCACTGCATACATCCAATGCTTTGCACAGGTACAAAGAAGGCATAAACATTTGTGGAGAGAATGAGCTCAAATTTATTTGCAGGCACCAACTCATGTCTCTTCCATGATTTGAGCCTAACACAGAGAACATCCTGAGCTTGAAGAAGGTGGAAGAAATAGGACCTCATCATAGGTACTCGAGAACCCTGAGAGTGTTGGTTATGCAGGCTGGACCCACGGGAAATGAATGAACTAGGGTTGAGAGCCTCCCCCCTCTGCTTGGCATATTTTGGAAAGTTTTACACAGAAAACTAAGGTCCTGGTCTTGAGAGACTTCCTCATGTCTGTGCAGTTATTTTCTGGAGCGGATGACTTTAAGATCTACAATAGAATAGGACATTTCCCTTTGGCTCTATTCCTACCAATAAGTGACACCTTGAATATAGGTATAACTGAACCCAAAGAACTCCTAATAGCACAGGTGCTGTGTCTCCAATTCACACCTGAAAAAAGGAGCGCAGACATAGCTGGCCACTTAAGGCAGGCATGGTTGGACTCATTCTCAAAGCCACACTCACAGGAGGGCTATGCCCAGAGATATCTGACTGGGCGGTGGTGGGAGAAGTGTCACTATGCCCAGATGGAGGCATGCATCACTCAGCGCTTCCACGACCTGCCACATACAAGCGTTCTCCTCCAACTGTGATTGAAGCTACTATTTCCCAATCACAGGTGAATTTCAATATGAGAAAATTCTACATCAGAGCATGTTGGAAAAGAAAGGATCTGCGTTACACTAAAAGAATGTCCAGTTTCTAGATCCATTTCTCAATCAAACTACAGAAGTGGCATTACCCAAATATAACCCTCCTTTAAAAATTATTTTTAAAAAGTCTTTTTACTGAAAGTTGAAGTGACATCCATCTCTGTGGGATAATTAAATACAGGTAGTCCTTCAGATTCAAGTAGCCAGTACTTAATATTTGCTACACTTGGTATCAAATTAAAACCTCTTATTTAAGCAATAACACAGGAATAGCAGCCAGTGTTTATTGCCCAATTCCTATGTGGCAGGCCTGTGCTGAGCCTATACCAGCTTAACCGCATTAAATCTGCTCAGTGAGATGGGTTTTCACCCCATTTTACAGATGAGAAAGAGGTATGAGTGATCCAAGCTGTAGAGGTAGGAAGGGTTTGAGTTAGGATTTGAACCCAGCTAACTCCTGCACTTGATTTTTGTCTACATCATAAGGTGAGTGCACTCATGTATTTCCCAACACAGCTATGGAACAAAGAGGGTGAGGGTACTAAGCAACACGTTGACATCAGTAGCAGAAAAGAAGGAATGCTAACTGAAAATATGCTCATTGCCCTGTGGGCTCACTGCCTGAGTGCCCTGGAGTGGAGGTGGGTGGGAGAGGCGGGCTGCAGGGGTGACAGGTCTTCACTTACTGGGGTTGCTGTGACAAGGGCCTGTGTCCTTAACAAGCACCTGGACATTAACTGAAAAGCCAAGTCACATGCTGAGCTTGGTGGTGTCTTGTATGAAACTCATCCCTGTTTTTGCCAAGAGTGGGCCAGGGACATCACTGCCATTTCCTGCGATAACACACCTGGGGACAGCTCTGAACTGCTTGGTGGCTCTTGTCCTGTCCACGATGATAGGAATAGAGTTGAAGACCAACCTGAGCATGGGTGGGGAAGGACCCTTATGCTGTCTCCCAGGGACAAAGAACTCCGCAGAGACAGGGCTCAGGACAAGCTAGCCTGTTCAAGCTGCGTTTCTCCCTCCTTCCTCCTCGGATTAGCAGAGTTTGTGAGTTATGTAGGCTTTCTCCAAGGCATTCATCCTGTTTGGACTATGAATATTATTGGGCTAAAGGTTTTAAGGGATAATGAACAATTTGCAATTTCATCAAGTTTGATTCTTTAAACGTTTTCAGATCTGAATCACCTCCAATCTGCATGGGCCTGCCCCTGAGTTCTCTGATTCTGAAATAATCCAGACTTCTACAGTCAGTTTTCAAAGTCAATTCAGCTGGTCACCAAGCCTACCAAGGCTCTTAGAGTGACTGCTCTGCCCCTCGTATCTTTAGGCTAGTTAGTGTTTCCTGGAAAACGCTCAAGATGTTTCAGAGCTTCAGAAATGACCCTTGCATGGAACTTCCCACTCACCACTGTTTACTTTTGCTCCATCCTGACCCATCAAACTCTTTTATAAAATTTACTTCCTTAGACCTCCCGTTCATGGTCAAGTTACATTCTTACTTCCTATTCCTTACAATGGCCCTTCTTTGTCTTCCTGTCTGTATTGAAGTAAGGGGATAAAACACAACTCTGCGTAGTGTAATATGGTGGAGTTAAAATCTGGTTCTGGAGTCAAATAATTAGCTCAAATCCAGGTTCCGCTAGTTGTGCAACATTAGGGGAATTTTTCTTTCTTTTTTTTTTTCCTTTTACCTTTCTTGAGTCCCAACTTCTTCATTTATAAAACAAACAGGGGAGAGAGTACCAGCGACAGCTGCTTCATAGTCTTAAACGAGATAGTACCTTCGAAGATCCAGCCAGGCGTGAAGCAAGTGATCAGCATTAGACTTGATTTCTTGGCCAATTAGTCTCAAATACCAAAGGGCACTGCCTGCATTTACTTCCTCAGGATGGAATATTCTTTTCAGATGTGAGCCACACTGACAAGGCCGCCCATAGTTCTCCATACCACCACGTTAGGCCTCCTTCCCCTCAGAACACAGATGTGTTCATAATTCCTAGTGTCTGGTGGCAGGAACTGACAGTACCTTCCCGTTCTTAGGAACCCTGAGAAGCGCTTCTGCACCCTCTCACAGATTGACTTCCTGCCTGGTCTCACTTCAGTAACTCATGCCCCTCCCGTGATGGCTGGCAGTGACCTTGCACAAGCCTGTCTTATCTGCCAGGACGGTTCTGCATCTGCTGCCTCCTGAACTGTGCTCCAGGGTTCAACAGCACAGTGGCCCTCCCTGCTTCCTGCCGGGGTCCCTAATGGCTCTGGGAGTGCATTTGCTCTCAGCTGGAGGTTAAAGGTCTTGCCTTTAAGAAGATAATAAATTACTTTTAAAAACTGAACAATTATCTTTGCAGTGTTTAATCTTAAATATTTAGATTTTGAATTCAATAGGAAATACCTAAAATTCTGAACATATTGAATTTTAAATTAATATCTTATTTATTATTGAGTCCCTTTTATACTTCCAGCCATGTTTTCCCCCCTAATGGACACATGATTTGCTGTTATGACTAATAAATCTTCAAGAGGCAGAGAGCTCTCCTCTAACAGAGCAGACAAATCCACACACTGAAACTCATCTCAACCTTGAGGCACAGACTTCCTGATGCCCTGTCTTCCTCCCAAATCCCCCAGTTGTTTCTTATCATTTATTTAAGTCCAGCATCACCACATTGAGCTGCAACAAAATTTTATAGATAATTCACATTTCCCTGTCTGATCCCTACATGCAATTACTTAACCTAAATTACCATTTCAACCCACTCAGTTATTCAGAGTAGCCACAGTGACCTGGTAATTATGAACTGAATTCACTAACTCAATGGGTTAGCAGCCTTTGTTTCTGGAACTCTCTACAGGAGTTTATAATGAACAAAATTCCTCTTGTCTCTGTATTACAAACATATAATAAATATGAAGAGGACTTCAAACAGTATCCCCAAAGGTATGCTCATTTCTAAGGAGAAAAGTAAATAGTAAGGTTTCCCAACTCTAAGCTGCTAAAAGCAAGTGGAGTGTGGCTTATTTCATTTAGCATGATAGTCTCCAGTTCCATCCACTTACCAGCATATGCCAATATTTCATTTTTCTTTATGGCTGAGTAAAACTCCATTGTGTATACATCCCAGATTTTCTTTATCCATTCATTTGTTGAAGATCACCTGGGCTGGTGATTTGGCTATTGTGAATTGTGCTGCTATAATATCTTATTGATATTAATATTAATGTGCCTATATCAGCGTAGAATGATGATTTTAGTTATTTTGGATAAATACCAAGGAGTGGGACAGCTGTGTCATGATGGTTCCATTCTTAGTCTTTTGAGGAATCTCCATTCTGCCTTCCAGAGTGGTTGTACTAATTTGCAGTCCCACCAGCAATGTCTGAGTGTATCTTTCCCTTACATCCTCACCAGCATTTATTAATATTTGCATTCTTGATGACTGCCAGTCTAACTGGAGTGAGGTAAAATCTCAATGTAGTTTTGATTTGCATTTCCCTGATTGCTAGGGAAGTTGAACATTTTTTCATATATTTTTTTAAATATATATTTTTTAGTTGTAGGTGGACACAGTATTTTTATTTTATTTTTATGTGGTGCTGAGAATCGAACCCAGTGCCCCACGCATGCTAGGCAAGCGCTCTACCTCTGGGCCACAACCCCAGCTCCATTTTTTCATACATTTGTTGGCCATTTGTATTTCTTCCTTTGAGAAATGTCTGTCTAGTTCATGCTAAGTGAAATAAGACAGACTCAGAAATTTAAGGGCCAAATGTTTTCTCTCATATGCGGAAGCTAAAATAAAATAAAGGAGTGGGGGGAAATACCATGAAAGTAGAAGAAAGATCAGAGGAATAAAGGGGGGGGCAGTTGAGGAGAATGGGAAAGGGGAGGGACAGCAGAATGAGGTTAACCAAATCATGCTGTGTGCATGTGTGTGTACCACGGTGAATTCCACCTTTATGTATTCCCATCAAATACAAATTTATAAAAACAATAAATAGATGGGGGAAGGCCAGGGGAGAGGGGGAGAGGAGGAGGAGGTACTAGGGACTGAAATGGAATAAATTTATTCCATATAAGTATATGTCAAAATGAACCTCACGCTTATGTATACCTATACTGTGCTTATAAAAAATTAAGTATATAAGTCCCTGAAGTCCAATCTCCATTTCAACAGGTTATTATATCTGACTGGTTTACTCATTAGCTACTGAGTTAAATAAAATTATTGAAATGTTCATTTAAAAGGAAAAAGCAAATGGAATTTGCTAACTTTCCTTTAAGCACTTTTTTTCTTGTAGAAAAAACCCAACTTGAAAGTACAGTTGGAGAAGCTCGGTTATTTCTTTGATGCCATCTTTGGCAACAACATCAACGCCCACAAAATGTGGGCTAGTAGGACAGAGAGGGCAAGGGGGACGGAGAGGGCACGGAGGACGGAAAGGGCACGGGGGATGGAGAGGGGGTTGTTATAAGGCTGTGATCTCTCAAAGTATTTTGCCAATGAATGAGGCAAATTGTTGAATCCCTATTTTGGCAACGGGAAGAAGAAAGGAGCATTCCCTAACAGGCTTCTAAGAGCACAGAGCTGTCCCACTCAAGCCCACAAAGATGGCGTCTGTGTGCTCACCATTGATTTCCCCAGCACACCTTCCCATATTCACCGTTCACAAGATTTTTAATTTTCTTAAAAAATAACAAAGAAAGACCTCACTGGAAGACTAGCAGTTCATTTAAAAGGGAAGGGGAATAAAAGGTGTGTTGGGGGGACATTTAATCAATAGTGAGATGCTTGGAAAAGCACACCTTTTTGCTTTCTTCAGGAAATCCTTTAAAAGCCTCAGTTGACCCACACTCCCATCCCCACCCCAAGCTTTGCCTTGGTTCATCTGCCTGACCATTTGCGAGGCACCGTCACTGTCACCAGGAGAAGATGAATGGAGGAGAGCTCCTGATGTTTCCCGCCAGCTGACACCTCTCTTCAAACGCTGACCATTCAAAGCACTTACCAGAGCTCTGCCTGTTGAGGACGTGGAGAAATGACATTTTTCATGTACCTTCCAAGTTGGGCCATGATGCCCACAGGCCCCCAGGACAGTACTGAGAGGCTCTCTGATACCCCTGTACCCTCCCCGTCCAGGAGGAGCAGAGAGGCAACAACCACTAATTGCATCTGTCCGCTGCCAGGCTCTAAGAAGTCTAAGAGGGCCACAGACTACAGGCAACGGCGGCCAGATCAGAATGATCTCGGAGCGCCTATGGAACAACTATAGGTATAAGATGACTGGCACCTGATCCTAGTACTGTTGATGCTGACGGTACCTGCCTTGGGCTTTGGTTGGTGTTCAGAAGGGGTGGTGCCAACTGCTGCAGAAGAAGGGACACTTTTAACATCTGCACACATTGAATGTAAGTCAGGGTGAAAGTAACTCCTTTGGAGTGTTGGGAGAGGAGGTGGAGGGGGCTAGGACACAGCTGCACAAATGTCACCAGCCTTTACCATGGCTGAGAGGCCTGGATGTCTTCCTAGCACATAACACCTAACATAACACTTAACACCTCTGCGTCTGACTGTGTTGCAATGACCCCCAGAGGGGATGAGATCCCCAGGCCTATGGACAAAGAAAGCAGGATGTGCTGTGGTGACATTGTAGTGACAGTGAGAGTCCACAACATTATTTCCTTGTCCTAGATGTACATAAGGTTTTTCATCATAAAATCATATCATGGCTTTAAAAAAATAAAAACATATACATGGTATTTGTTTTGGTTCTAGATTTTCAAGAATGTACATTGTAATAAGTGAATGTTAGTTTCACAAGAAAAAAAAACTCATGCCCATTTTGTAAGTTAGTCAATTCATGCTTTTAGCCTTCAAAGTACAGCAAAGAAACTCCTTTTTAAAACAAAAGCAAGTGACCCTTTCTGGGTTATTACAGCTTGGTCCTGGGAGTACCATGCACTTTGCCTACAATGAATTAGAAATGCTCAGAACTGAGTTTTACCTATAGACAAAAGTCATTGCTATTCACATAAAATTCCTCCAAAGAAGTAAAACCAGAATATGTTCTTTCATCTTTTTTCTTTTACCTCTAATTCGAAGGAAAGGAAGGAGTGATTTCTTAATGTAAATAATCAAACAACTTTTTTCCTTATAAATATAACTTTCCTCTGCGACAAAACCAGGACTTATTTCTGGGACACAGAGTACTGGCTGTCCCTACAAGGACAAGCTCACTTAATAGCTAAGGGGGCTTTGTTACGTGGTGAAAATGAGCTGCTGTGTAGGTCAAAGCACTCGAAAGATGGAAACAACCGTGACTTGAGAGAGGTGTCCCTTGGAGTGTTCAGGCTTCTTAAAGGTCCTGGGGAGCCACCCTGCTGGCAGAGGGGAAGGGAGGCCCTGCCAGGTCCCAGGCTGTTTACAGTGTTCTGTGATAGGGCTAAGTTGACTTCACTGATATTTACGGCTGGTTAATGGGAATCAGATGTTCCTTTTGAACAACAGGATAGAAAGGGAGAAGTTATTAGAAACAGATATTCACGTTCTCTCTCTTAAACGTAAGGGTCTAGAGCAGACCAAAAAAAAAAAAAAAATCACACTTCATGGTATTTTTCTTCAAGTCATGAAAATGTACCACTTGGCCATAGTCTTAGGCCAAGAAAATATGAAACTACTTGAATTAAGAATATACTATTGGAGGCGGGGGAACTATTGAAAATGCAACTTCCTTCCAAGTAGAGGCATTAAGTCTGAGCAGGGCTCCTCACAGTGGGGTTCATTATGAGCCGCTCCTTTGGATTCAGAAGCCTTTCATTTTGTTGTGTGTGGGAACTCTGTCTGCCATTGGGGCTGAGCCTTAAAATAGAAAGAAGGTCCTGCACAAGTCCAAGTCGGAACCTGGTACCATGGGCACTGCAAGGCCCCCAATGCCTGGAGTCAGAGAACCAGAGTCTACAGTCTCTGCAGCCATCGGCCGGTGCAGCCTTGGGCACGCTGCTCCATCAGCGTCATTCTGCAGGGGGAGGAACTCGGAGGCTCAGCTCCATGAGGTTTCTTTCCACTATAAAATTCTATACTTCATATGAACATGAATCGTAATAAAATCAGATAGAAGCTCAATTCTTCCTTAGTGCAGTTCTGGAAGTCACAGGACAAAGCCCTGACAGGAGTACTGGGCTGAGTCCCAAACTGTCACCAGGGCTGTGGAATGGGTTTCGTCTGGGCCAGCGTGGGAAAGTGGAAAGTCACTTGCAATTTCACAGGCCTGACTTCTCAGGAACCCTAGAGAAAGTGAGTCTGGGCAGCAACATGGTCTCCTGCCTTGCTGCCTCTGTGGAAGACAGAGTCCCTCACTGCTCCAGGAAGGCACACAAGGCAGGCCACACTCTTCTTCCTCATGCTCAGCAGTGGTCCTCCAAGAGGGCCCTTGCGAGCACTTAGGGCTCTCCTCTTCCTGGTATCCTAGGTCTCTCTCTCACTGGCCCCTTGCAGTAAAAAGAAAATGACTATGGGCTCCCAGAAACCTGAGATCCAATCCTAGCTTTTCTACTTATCAGTGGGGAAACTTGGAGAAGTTCTTTAACTGTGAGAGGCCTCAGTCTCAGTCTCTGCATCTGTAAAATGGGATTAAGATTAACAACCTCCACAGGAACTACTAGGAGAGCAAATGAGAATCTAGATGGATACCCCAGTCTCCACAGATGGGGGCCCACTCTCCCTTCACAAATCCATTCTTGATCCAATCCACTCCTCCCAGCATGGCTTTCCCCTGCTCGAAGCTTTTGGGTTCTCATTGGGCCTGTTCCTTTCTCCTCATCTCCACCTGTTCCAATCCTCTCCAGCCTCCAGAATTCAACCTAAAGACTGCATCTCTCAGGAAGTGTCCCTGGAGACCTTGGCCTCATCTGACATCCCAGAGAATGTGGCGTTTGAGATCCAGGACTTGTGACATGTTTCCGCCCCATTTTATCATGACTTGTCTCTTTTCCCCTACGAGGCTAGATGTACAGCATCCAGGCTGGCACTGCACCCGGGAGTGTGGCCGATATTTGTTCCTTGAACAAATATGGGGTGCAGGATCAAACGGCAGCTTTCTGTGCACCGGCTTTAATGGAGATGACACTTTAGCCACTGCTCTGAAGGAAAGCACCAATCAGAGAGAACAGCCCAGGTCAGAGCGTGAGGCACACTCGGGTGAGGGCAGCATTGACTTCTGCAGGAGGGGACAAGTTACGTGAGGAAGGCAGCCACAGAAAGCAACAGAGAAGCCTAGGCCCACGGCAGCGGCTCCCAGCTACGGCCAGACACAGCGCCAACCTGCAGAGATGGAGTCCGTCCTATGCGGCGAATCAGACTTTTGGGATAAAAGAAATCAGAGGAAGAGCGGTAGATGTTTGGTGGCTGCCATGAAACATGAGAAAAGGGAAGAATAAACAACAAGAACCCCTTATTCTGAAACCCTAGAAAACAAAAAAGCTGAGAGGAAACCAATTTGATAGCAACAGCAAGTGACATCACTTCCATTGATGTACATGTGCCATTTGGGGGTCAGTTTGGGGCCCAAGTTTAAAGCATATTAACTGGTCTTGAAATTACAATATACTTATCTACATCCACCCCCCTTTCCATTTAGTTTGGCTCGATGTGCTTACGGTATATGAAGCCAACCAAGAGGCGGTCATCAGATTCTGTTCTTACAAACGCCCCATGAGGTCTTCAATGACAAGAATGTGGATTACTTGGGAGGGCTGCTGAAAGATCCTTAAAACATTTTCATTTTGCTATGGAGACTGCTCTGATGTGACATGTGGTGAAAGGCCTAGGAACCTTGGCTGGGGATTTGTGATGTGTGGACACACCCTCAAGAGAGTGCAAGATTCCATCTTCTCTTCAGACTCTGCTCGCCTCTAAGCCCTACCAACACCCCTGGGCCCTAAATCTGGGCACCCTCAGACCCCTTCCCCAGGGGTGCCCTCCTCCTCACTACTGGGCTTCCCAAGGACAGTCAGCCAGAGTGCTGACCTGGCCTCCCAAGTAGTGGATGCCAGGTTCAGGAGGAGAGTGCTGGAATTCTCTGGAAAGCTCACTGAGGGAACAAAACAAGAGCTCCTTTTGGCCAGAATGAAATATTTCACTAGTTGTTTTCATAAGCGTCTCCAGAGAGTTTCATCGAGATGTGACTCTTTATTTATTTATTATCATTTTAGGAACATCAGTCCCAAACTCAAGTTATCTTTATAGAAAAAAAGATGCACATTCCATTCAGTCTGGTCTCATTAGCACGCCTCAATTTGTCCCTGGCCCCCTAGCCAAAGATTTCATCAGGGATCAAGTAAAAATGACTATTCAAAAAACTAAAAGCAACCCTGTAGAGAATGGAAGATGTGCTGGCTCCCTGGGTGGTTTCTGGGTAGCAGCCTCAGCTATGTTGTGAATGGTACATTCTTGGGGCAAAAGTGACAGTAAGTACTGTCCTTAGTGTTCTCCTCTATTATGAAGATAATTCATTTTCCAAGCATGCATGGTTCCTCTAAAGTCCCTCGCCAGTCTGGTGACAACTTTCAAGAGAAATCCTGTGTGCTCAAGTTGAAGTTGTGTGTCAGGAAACAGAACAGAACATCTGGGCATTTGTGGGCAAATCCCTCCCCTGCTCACATTTTTTTTTTTTTTTTTGTAGTTGGACACAATACCTTTATTTTATTTATTTATTTTCATGTGGTGCTGAGGACTGAACCCATGGCCTTGTGTGTGCTAGGCAAGGGCTCTACTGCTGAGCCACAACCCCAGCCCCTGCTCATTCTTACCTTTATTCAATTATACTAAGAAAATTTTTCTTTTAACTTCTACTTAAAATCTGCTCATAATAACTGTGAATTCTAAGAGTACTACTTTTGTTCAGGGTTACAGGCAAAGGACAAGTTTCTAAAATATCCAAATGGCAAAGTGTCTCTATCTGATACACAGATGACATCTGAGGAAGAAAAAGAGAGAGAGAGAAATAAAAGCAAAGGGGAGAAAGCTCCTATGCATACGTCTGTTGCAATGAAGAGAATAAATAAAAGGCACCAGAAAATAAGAGATGCGATTACTCAGGTGGCAAGCAAAGGGATCTGAAATCTGAGAACCATTTCTCAGAAGCCTAGTCATCCCTTCACAAGTCACACGTCGGTGACCAGGTCCCACGGGTGAACCATGGCTCTGCTGGAATTACACACGTCATGTAACACAGGCCTGCTCAGGGCAGATAAGAAAGCATTCCACATACTGGAGTTTGGCCTCCAAAATAAATCCAGATCATTCTTTTCCTTGAGATAGCAAATGCTGTGAGGTCACGCTCCCATTTTTCCATTGTACCCTCAAGTTAGCTAAACTGAGGGACTGAGATTCAGTCTGATTATTGCTCTGGGGGAAAAACAAACAACAAAACAAAAACCTTCATAGACCAGATGAAAAACTAGGGACGTGTGATCAGGATCCAGATTACAATCACAACGTGACAATGGTATTTGCTTCTGAAACATAAAATACTGTCATCTGGAGGAGTTCTGAATATTGACCAACCTGCATGTCTGAGCTCATCATTGTTTTCCCCTAAGATTTTATCTGACAAGTCATCAATTTGGAGCTGGAGGTTGCTCCACTGAGTTTGGATTTGAGAGCAATGGATGGAAGCAGGGCATCACGGGCTCAGTACAAAGCCATCTTGCAGGAAGGTCACCAGATGTTGGCTTTAGAACCGGGTGAATTATTTTTTCCCCATCTGCATGGACTTTTGCTTGAATGCCTTAAGCTGACCAGAAAGGCAGGGCTTACTTTATCCAACACAAGCATGTGGAGTAAAAATCACAACAATAAATTTAAGGCAAAAAAGAACCCCTTGAGCTGACCAAAAGGCCTTTGAACTTGGTTTGCTATGAGAAAAAACAAATCAGTAAAAAGTAATTTCACCCCAACCCTTGCCCCAAGAATTTGTGACTATGAAACCTGTGGCCTCCAAATGCACCTGGCATTATGGTTCTAATGGTTTCCTTACCCGCAGTTTTTCCTCTGTCTTGGTAGATTGCTTACAGTCGGGATGCCAAACGGTGGACCCTGGAAAGACATGAAGCACCGCTCAGAGTAAAGGAAATGGAGAGAAGCCGCAGTCCTAGTGAACTGAGCTTCTGAGAGTGGCTCATATTCCTCTTTCCCTGTCATAGGAGAGTGTTAGGGCCCCATGCCCAGGTGGCTTATGACACTGAAGTCAAACAACTCCAACCCCTAGGTGAGGTTTCCTCATCTGGCCCAAGCTTGCTCATAAAGGTCATAGTTCTAGATCACAAGAATGGTTTAATGCAAGAGGTATTTTAGCTCTTGATAGGTCTATTTAGTTTTTCTCTTTAAATCATATTATTATCCTTTAAAAGTAAAGTCTGAGTGCTTGCTACATGCTGCACTTAATTTCAGATATATAAGCCATGTTGACAGAACATCAAAACAATCAAGCTATTTGGTTGGAGAAATAAAGTCAAACTAGGTAGTCTATATCCAGAATATTCTGGCTATAGATAGTTTGTATATAGAAGATCCAGAAGTAAAACTCACTAAATTCTCATTGACCCAATTCTATAGTCACCTATCCTGAAGCAGGAAATTAAAATAACTGACAGCCAGGTTAAAATTACATTATGAATCCTGCAACCGCTTAATTAACTTTTTTTTAAAGTTTCAGTTTTAAACTAGTCACACAACTATTTTGGTGTTATTTCTTATACCTGGATCAATAGTTTCTCACTCTATGAAGTACTTTCATGGGTAGAACCCACAGCACAGAATTAAGCAAAACACTTACCTCTTAAAGAAAGCTCTTATCTCCAGAATCCAGGGCCTGACATATGATTGTATAGACCATACATGTACTATATAAGTATGGGCCATTTATACCACTATGCAAGTTCCACGTCCACCTAAGAGTTTGTTCAGATATCGGGAGCAGCAGAAGAGTCTGAGCACTTAAAAAAACCCAAGTCAATCTTTTTCTAAGTGGAAAGTAGTGAGAAATTGACACACATAACAGTCTCAGCAGGAACATCAATCTTTCTGTATTTTATAGCTTCAGTCTTGATTTCTTTAAGCATAACCTCTGTGTACTTGAAAAGTCACCATATTAAACTGACCTAAATTGCTTTATACCACTGAGCTAAAATAATATTCAATTAATGACAAGGAAATATATTCCATACCAGAAGAAAACTGTAAACTGTTTAAAAATCACCTCTACCTTGCTTCTCCCACAGCCAAAAATAAAAAAAAAAGAAAGAAAACCAAACAAGCAAACCCCAGACAGACACACCGGTCCCTTCAGCACTAACTCTGGCTCAAAGGCTAACTACAAAGCACAGGAAATCTCTTAATGTGGAGAGCCGAGGTCAGGCCCAGGCCGGGAGAACCTTCGCTGTGAAGGTGCTGCTGAGGGGGGGCACTGGCCGGAACACAGTCTGCACACAATGGCAGCATTGTTCTCAGAGGTCAGACACACCAGCAATGTGACTCTCAGATGCTGAGAAAGATGAAACTGCTCATTCTTCAAGGATGTGCAGAGAGGGCAGGCAAAGGGTACCACAGCACAACTCCAGAGATGTAGAACAATCCCTGGGATTCTGAAGGTAGCCCATCTTGTAAATGTGCTATATTTGTGCACAACTTGAAACCACCCTCCTGCGTTCAGCTTCCAGAGCCGCTGTGGACGTGCAGAACTGCACCCGAGCAGACATAGGTTGACGTGTACTCCTGTGTCTGTCCTGGGAGTAAGTGACACACCAAAATCTAAAAGCAGGCCCAGAGACCACATGGGGAATCGATCTGCTTTGTGCAGAAAAATGCAAAGCGACACCTGCCTATTGCCACTATAGCTGTACAGCCTGTCCTTGGGAACACGTGTCCTATGAAGCCCCCATGAGACCACAGATGCAGTGCTTGTCACTTGCGTTCCCATGAGGCCCTTCAGCATTCGGTGGTGTTTTCCACTGCAATTTTTCAGAGTGATCACTCTAAAACTGAAATGACACTGGGTTGTCCATTTCTCGCCTTGCCAGCAATTTTTGAGGGAATAGCCAAGACGGTCCTTTAACCCTCGAAAATCATTTCTACAGACTTTTAGTTGCACAGAAAGAAAATCGAGAGAGCAAAGCAAACCATTCATTAAACAGTCGCATGGTGTTATGTGTAAGGGGGAGTGAAGAAGAGGCAGAGGAACCGAGACCCAGCAATTATCAGAACTGAATAAGCAACCGCTCTTACAGTTCTCGCTAATTTTCCTGATGAACCTTGTCTAATTAATGACTCTTTTTAAAGATAAAAATAGTAAAATGTTTGTGCAGATGGTGCTGTTTGGCTGGTAGAGAATCTGCACCTAAATCCTCTCTGAGAGGCTTTGGGATTTGGGAGAAAACAAAGATGGATCATCGTTTCACACTGGGAACATTCCTCAAAATTATTTTCAATTAAGAAAAATCTAAGGACTCCCTGGAAAGGAGTATTTCCTTGTCACCAGAAACGTCTCCGTTTCTTGTGTAGGGACTTTGCCCGTGTGCTTGTTCATTCTCTATTTTGATAGGAGAACTGTACTGTTTGAACAGGATGAAATGTGTCTGTGAGGAAATGCATCAAATGTGAGCTTTTCTTCTGGAAAGCCAGAGAAGAGCATGCTGGGAGACTTCAGACCATCCTCACAGGACAGTGAAAGGAGAAAAGGAAAAGGAGCCACCAAATAAGGGACACTTCTAGAAATTTCTAGAAAGCTTTCTCTCCTTCGATCTTCTGTTTCCCAAACATATTCCTGAGGAGAGGTGGGGGAGGAATTGCTGATTGCCACTCTTCCCTCTTATGGAACATGGAATCTTATTCATTCTTTCCAAGCAGCAACACACTCAGCTCATTTGTTAACAGCCCCAGGGGCTCCCAGCCAGCGAGCAACTGCTTGGCTGATTAAAGCTAACAGATGAGGTAACTTCTGGCCGCATTTGTATTGGATTTGGGTAGCTTCTCAGCTAATAAAATGCCTCCTTCTCTAAAAACAATTCAACAAACACAGAAGGCTTTCTCTCCCTGAGTGGGAAAGAGTCCACCTTACCTTGAAGATACATCTCTTCTCCTTCTGTGAACATCTGGTTGCATCTGCTGCATCGTGCACAGCTGGGGTGATAATGTTTGTCACCTGCCTGCAAGAGAAAAGGCAGGGACATTTAGCCGGCTCCTTGACATGGCTCCAGGCTCTTTTTTGGATTCAGAAGAAAAGAGAAGATGCTGAGATATGGAAAATAATTGACTGACCAAACTCCCCACAGCAACAGCCCTATATGTGAAAAAGCTGACCTCGACCTCGCTGGAACTAGAAAGGCCCGAAGGCCAGCTACTTGTTCCTGCCACAGTGGGGCTGCCTTGCCCCTCAGGAGTTTTGGCTTCCAATTCTCTCCTGTCCTGGACTTGCCTGGATCATTGCCAGTTACACACCATATGCCTGAGATGAGTTGATGCCATCTCCCAAAAACCCCACCTCAAAAGCAGGAACACAGAATTCATGTTGGAAGCTAATGTCAGTTTATATGAAAGCAATAAAAAATAAGTGATCTTTATACTTAATGTGTTCTTGCTTTCCTGGCTTAAACATGAGAAATGATAAAATCTACCCAGCATGCATCAAGGCAAGAAACACCATCGTAAAAGACATCATTCACTGCTTTTTACACAGAAGGAACCCAAATTCTCTCCTATGCTGCCTTCAGTAATCTTTTGCCAAGGTTTTATGTTAAGAGTTTTCTGAGGAAGCACATTACTGAGGTAGCTCTGCATTATTCTCTGGCATTTCACATACTTAAATATGACAGATGTCATCACTGTAAGTGTTGACTACCCCAAAGCAAAGTGTCACTGGACACAGGGACAATTCTCTAGACAGGTGACAAGTCACATTAAAGTCATGCTTCAAATGCAAGCTAGACAAAACCACAATACTTTCATTCAAGCTTAGCAAAAAAATCTTCACCATCTAAAAATTATCAAATGTATTTTGTCATTAAAACATTTTTATCAATCAACTATGAATTCCCCCCACCCCCACATGCAAAGACAGCACTGAGAAAGTTATGGCTACTTCCACATGCAAAGACAGCACTGAGAAAGTTATGGCTACTTCCTGCTTCTGAACCTGTGTGAAACCCCAACAGGAAATTAGAGGTCAGGTTGAGATTTCATTCTCACACCCTCCTGCAGGAACTACAAAAGCCCCTTGGCAACCAGAGCATGAGATGTTGTCAGCTCTTCAAGATGATCCAAGCCAGAAAGAAAGTTCTTTAAATTAAAGCTAGAAATGACATCTTTTCACTGGTGCCTGCCAGAAAATCCCAGAAAAGGTGTTCTTGTCCACTTGCTTTTCATTTTTTTAATTATTTATTTTGTGTTTTTAAAAATTCATTCATTCATTAATTTGTTCTAATTTGTTATGATAGCAGAATGCATTTAGATTCATAGTACACAAATGGAGCACACTTTTTCATGTCTCTGGTAGTACACAAAGTAGAGTCACACCATTCGTGTCTTCATACGCGTACCTAGGGTAATGATGTCCATCTCATTCCGTCGTGTGGGTGTAGTGGGTGGTAATTGCGGCAGGGGGTGTGAGAAGTAAGAGAAGCAATGAAGTAGCTCCTGCCCTGAAGACATCTGGTTTGGGGCTGGGGCTCAGCAGGAGAGCGCTTGCCTAGCAAGTGTGAAGCCCTGGGTTCAATCCTCAGCACCATATTAAAAAAATTAATAAAATAAATGTACTTTGTGCAACTAAAAAAATAAATACTTAAAAAAAAAGATATCTTGTATCAAATGTAAGTGAAAGGAACAAGGAAGAAGACTTTAGTTCTAAACAGGATGGCTCAGCTAGGACCTCAGTACTGAGGTCCAAGTTGGTTTGGACAATCCCTGGATTCTCAGGGACAACATAGGTGAAAGAATAAAGGGTCCTTGCTAGGAATCTGGTATAGTTTGCAATAAAAAGTACACCCTTCAGTAAACTAGGAATAGAAAGAAACTTCTCTGGGCAGATAAAATGTCTTTATCATATTTAATAGTGAGACATTAGAAGTTCACTCATTACAGATAGAAAGAAGACAAAGTTCACCGATACCATTTCTACATTGTTTGGGTCTTAGCTAATGTGATAAGTCAAAAAATAAATAAATAAATATAGTTATCACTAATAGAAGAGTTCAGTTAAGTGACTGGATTAAAAAATCATAAAAGAATTAAATGTAATGGGAAAACAGGTCTTCGTTTGTAATAGCAACAAGTAAACCCTCCAATGTAAGATCTGTATAATGATGCAGGGCGTGGTGGCACATGCCTGTAATCCCAGCAACTCAGGAGGCTGAGGCAGGAGGATTGAGAGTTCAAAGCCAGCCTCAGCTACTTAGTGAGGTGCTAAGCAACTCAATGAGACCCTATCTCTGAATAAAATACAAAATAGGGCTGGGGATGTGGCTCAGTGGTCAAGTGTCCCTGAGTTGGATCCCTGGTATCCCCACCAAAAAAAAATCTATATAAGGAATAAATTATAGAGCTTAACTAATGGATATAAAAGGCCTAAATAGAAACATGTAATATTTCTGGATGGGAAAATTAAATATTATGAAGATATTGATTTATTTAAAATGAACCTGTTAATGCAATGAATTTCTAATACAAATTCCTCAATAGGACACCCATAGCACAAGAGTTAATAACTAGAATCAACAAATGGGACTTACTCAAACTAAAAAGTTTTTTCTCAGCAAAAGAAACAATAAGAGAGGTAAATAGGGAGCCTACATCCTGGGAACAAATCTTTACTCCTCACACTTCAGATAGAGCCCTAATATCCAGAGTATACAAAGAACTCAAAAAATTAAACAATAAGAAAACAAATAACCCAATCAACAAATGGGCCAAGGACCTGAACAGACACTTCTCAGAGGAGGACATACAATCAATCAACAAGTACATGAAAAAATGCTCACCATCTCTCGCAGTCAGAGAAATGCAAATCAAAACCACCTTAAGATACCATCTCACTCCAGTAAGATTGGCAGCCATTATGAAGTCAAACAACAACAAGTGCTGGCGAGGATGTGGGGAAAAGGGTACACTTGTACATTGCTGGTGGGACTGCAAATTGGTGCAGCCAATTTGGAAAGCAGTATAGAGATTTCTTGGAAAGCTGGGAATGGAACCACCATTTGACCCAGCTATTCCCCTTCTCGGTCTATTCCCTAAAGACCTAAAAAGAGCATGCTACAGGGACACTGCTACATCGATGTTCACAGCAGCACAATTCACAATAGTAAGACTGTGGAACCAACCTAGATGCCCTTCAATAGACGAATGGATAAAAAAAATGTGGCATTTATACACAATGGAGTATTACTCTGCATTAAAAAATGACAAAATCATAGAATTTGCAGGGAAATGGATGGCATTAGAGCAGATTATGCGAAGTGAAGCTAGCCAATCCCTAAAAAACAAATGCCAAATGTCTTCTTTGATATAAGGAGAGTAACTAAGAACAGAGTAGGGATGAAGAGCATGAGAAGAAGATTAACATTAAACAGGGATGAGAGGTGGGAGGGAAAGGGAGAGAGAAGGGAAATTGCATGGAAATGGAAGGAGACCCTCATTGTTATACAAAATTACATACAAGAGGAAGTGAGGGGAAAGGGAAAAAAAATACAAGGGGGAGAAATGAATGACAGTAGAGGGGGTAGAGAGAGAAGAGGGGAGGGGAGGGGAGGGGAGGGGGGATAGTAGAGGATAGGAAAGGCAGCAGAATACAACAGACACTAGTATGGCAATATGTACATCAATGGATGTGTAACTGATGTGATTCTGCAATCTGTATACGGGGTAAAAATGGGAGTTCATAACACACTTGAATCAAAGTGTGAAATATGATATATCAAGAACTATGTAATGTTTTGAACAACCAACAATAAAAATTTAAAAAAAAAATTCTCAGAGGAGTTTCCTTTGGGAAGGGAGGGAGGGGGGAGCCATAGGTTTCCTTGACATATGGCCTTTTCCCATAAATTCATATGGAAGAAAAAGAATGCACAAAAATACAAAGACATTTTTTCAAAAAGAGAGCACCAAAGAGAGGGAATTTTCCTTTCCTGATATAAGATTATTTTCTAAGTCTAAAATAATTAAAGTACTTAAATATCAGTGTTAGGGGGAAAAAATCAATGGAACAGAAGACCAATTTTATACTCATACATATAAGAGCATTTAGTATGTTAACTTTGGTATTTCAAATACACTAAAAGAATAGATTACTCAATAAATGATGATGATAGTTTAGTGGCAGGGCACTTGCCTAGCATGTGGGTTTGATCTCCTGCACACCAAAATAATATCAATAAATAATAATAATAAAGTGATGAAGACAATTGGTTCTCCACTTACAGAAAAATAAATCTAGATTCCTAAATCATAACTACACTAAAACAAATTTCAAAGAACTTATAAAACTAAAAGTAGAAACAAGATTAAAGCAGTATAAGAAGAATATATAGAAGGCTCTGTCAATAAACGTGGGATAGGAAGGCTTTCCTAAGCAAGGAAAAACCCAGAAACAATAAAGACAAATACTGACTAATTAATGCACAAAACCCAAAAATCTCTATACATAAAGGACCCTAACATCTTTCTTGGTGCCATGATAAGTGCTTGAAAATACTTACATAAACCGCTGATCAGTCTTCCAAGGCCGGCAGTGTTGCCATTTTTCATATGAGAGGGACATACTATGTGTATATGGTTTTTTTTTATGAGTATCCAGGCATGGAGAAGAGAGAAGAATGTCAACCAATTAGTGTGTTATGGTTACCTCTGGGGAGAGAGGTAGGAATGGGCAAAGAGCAGCCTTTTGTATCATCTCAGCTGCTGACAACAGGAATGTGTTTTCATGTTACTCTGTAATAGGACCTAGAGGCAAGAGCCCATGACCCCTAGAGTCACAACACCTGGGCTTGAGTTTTCACCTCAGTCTGTACTGAAATATGATTTTGGGCAAATCACAGACTAGGAACTTCTATTGCAGAGAAGAGATGAAACTAATAAAAATGAACTTTTTATTGGGATTCTTTGGTGTCTGTTACTGTTTTACATACTTCATAAACATTTAGTGAATCTGCCA